GAGGTGTTTTGGCATGCACACTTCAAGAGCGGAAGAACATTTCTGGAAGACAATGAGTGGTCAGGAAGACCTTCAATAAGCTCAACACCCAAAGAATTTACTCTTCCCAAAGATGAACATCTAGCTCAAAGGTCGCCATTTTTACAACATTGTGGAGATTTGCCCAGTTTCACACAGATTTGCACACTTGTCCTTTGTTCTAACTTGCTGTCCATGATGATATAGCAGACGTGGTAACGCACATGGTCAGAATAACCAGTTGCACAGCTCCCGATGTACACAGGACGATGTCTTTTGGCACTCTGACTTATGAAGGTCGGTGTTCTCTATGACTGTGTGTGCAGCCTTGTGCTGCCATCTGTTAGCATATTACAAAACTAGTCTCAAAACGTTTTGGTACCACCTCGTATGTACAAATTGAGGACAGCAAACTGCTTTCTATAAGGCTAAAGCAAAGGCCCTTGCATATAGCAAACTGTGGACTTGACTTCTAGTAGAAACAGTAAAAGCACTCAGGCTTCTTTCTTTAGAGCAACAAGAGTCCCTTCACAGAGAACTAAATAGACTAAGCTCTTCAGAACATTAGCCAGTGTTCCCTTTAGCAAACACACAGCTGACTCTCTAGCACAAGAAGGGTGGGGTGGCAACCAGGGGCGGACTGACCATTTGGAAACTCGGGCACCTGCCTGAGGGCCCGGGGTCAGTAGAGGGCCCCATGAGATGCCCCTGGTACCTTTTTCATAGGCTTTTTTGAGTTTGGGCAAGGACACAGTGGCTCCATGATCCCCTATTGCCCGGGGGCCCCATGAGTTGTCAGCCCACCCCTGGTGGCAACAGCCCAAAAGTTTCTAAGATCTCTCAGCAGTCTGTATTCGCAAAATGTCCAGGAAAACCTGGCTGCCTCCTTCCAACTTCCAAGCGACGCTTTCCTCCAGTGATGGCAGACTAGATCTTCAGCAGACAGCCCCTCAGTCAGCTCTCAGTAGCTTCAGCATCCAGGCCCCCAGGTCGCCCACCTCAGGCCTTTCCAGCAGCAAGCACATGGCGGTGGTGACTTAGAGAGCAGCTGTCCTCCACGCTGGACTGATCCTCAGCAGGAAAAGACACAAAGATCAGTGTGCTCAGAGAATTTATCCACTTGCTGACCACAATAGGTATATACTGTATATGTGCGCGTGCGCCCTCTACCCGGAAATGCAAAATCATGTATATATACGTGATTTTGCACACCTATACCACCCTGTAGCAGTATTACTGCTATAGGGCAGACAGGAAGTGGTTAATGATCATATTCTATAGATATACTATTGATTGAACTGAGAGCTCTCAGAGAAGAGGGACAGACATAGAGAGTGAAGAGATATATATAAGAAAAAGGTGGCCACTAAAAAATGCAGCTGCTGTATTGATGTCCGTTCATCTTGTGTGAAAGTATGCTGGGTAAACCATTAAGATCCAAGCTGTAATAAGAATCAAAAATGGACTGGTAGACATAGAGACAACCAACTAGTGGTTTCACTGGATCGGTTGCATTGAAGCCATCATGGATGGTTGTAGAGTGTCCCGGTCAAAAAAGGAGCAGCTGAATGCAGGGGCGGACTGACAACTCATGGGGCCCCCGGGCAATAGGGGATCATGGGGCCCCATGTGTCCTTGCCCAAACTCAAAAAAGCCTATGAAAAAGATACCAGGGGCATCTCATGGGGCCCCCTACTGACCCCGGGCCCTCGGGCAGTGCCCAAGTTTCCAAACGGTCAGTCCGCCCCTGGCTGAATGTGATCCAGAGGAGGAAAATGGGATATAAAGATTACTTATTGATGTGGAAAAAGCACTGTGCAAATATCGTGTGACATTAAAAATATAAGGCTTGGGGGTTTCTAAGTCATTTTAAAACAAAAAAATACTAATTTTTATTGATCACTGATTTTTTTGATCACCATTTTGAGATGATGAATCAGAGTTAGGAGATAGGTAAGAACTTTGACTAATTTATCTTTGAGTTCTTCTGAGATATTATCTAAAAATCCTGACATCTCACATTTCTACTTTTTTTTTTTTTTTTGGAAGTCAGCCCCAATGCGCTAACAAATGAAATCACTGATTTCTGTGATCATTTCAGTTTTCAGGATACTTGTGATGGGTTTTGTTGTTTAGCTCTTTGAACCTTTGAAAGAATGTTCTTCCTAGTCTTTTCCGGCCGTGTGGTTTTAGTTTTGCCTCTCTGTCTCTTGTGATGGATTCCCTTGGCGGGTGTTGTCAGCGGTTGAAATGCTATCATCTAAAATGCACTCACATAGTAATGGCTGGCGATGAAGAATGCCTGCGTCCTGGTCTCTGTAGGAATGAGACAGTGTGTGAGTTGTCGTGTTGGGTTGACTGCACACATTGATCGGTTCCCTTGTTGTATCAACTTCAGCTATCTATTTATAAGCACGGTTGTAAAATATTAATGGAGACGTTTATATGTAACTACTTTTACTGCTCTTCGTCAATAAGACTCACCATATATTAATTGTGCTTGACATTCACATATCAGACGTATTTATTAAAACTTTTGTTGCAGTTAGGGTATTAATAAGGCCCACTGATAGATTTCAGATAGATTTCATTGTCAGAGAAATAGCAGGCAATGGGAAGATTCCATTTATAGCAAACTATCTATTTCAGCTAGAAAATACCACCTACAGTTGCAAGAAAAAGTATGTGAACCCCTTGGGATTACGTGGAGTTTTGCATGAATTGGGCATAAAATGTGCTCTGAAAGTCACAACAATAGAAGAACACAGTCTGCTGAACATAATACTACACAAACTCCCCGGACCCTGCATTCACTATATCAGCTCTCCCAGGACCCTGCATTCACTATATCCGCTCTCCCCGGACCCTGCATTCACTATATCAGCTCTCCCAGGACCCTGCATTCACTATATCTGGTCTCCCCGGACCCTGCATTCACTATATCAGCTCTCCCAGGACCCTGCATTAACTATATCTGGTCATCCCCGGACCCTGCATTCACTATATCTGCTCTCCCCGGACCCTGCATTCACTATATCTGCTCTCCCTGGACCCTGCATTCACTATATCCGCTCTCCCCGGACCCTGCATTCACTATATCTGGTCTCCCCGGACCCTGCATTCACTATATCTGCTCTCCCTAGACCCTGCGGTCACTATATCCGCTCTCCCCGGACCCTGCATTCACTATATCTGCTCTCCCTGGACCCTGCATTCACTATATCTGGTCTCCCACAGTACACAGAACATGGAAATGCAATTATTTTAGTAAATATAAACTGCTAAATAAATATTCTCATCAGCAGTATATAGCAGTCTTGTGACTTCAGCAGAGCACTGGTTAAAGCTTGTAGGAGGAGTTTTCTTTCTGCTCTTGGAGGATGTGAAACCCTTGACCCTCTGTCTGGACAGCGCTGATTGACCCTTTGCTGATCACATGCACTCTCCCAAGAAAAAAAAAAAAAACCTCTCTAGCAATACACACCAAACTGAGCTGTACTTGGCTTGCCATCTGACCATGACCCTGATCTCGAAGGGTACCTGGAGCTGCCTCTAACTGTGTGTTCTTGCAGTCTCTGTACCAGTCTTCCAAGGTCCAGTTCCTGGGTGCCTTCCTGTGGACCACCATCCTTGGTCCTCCTCTGGCTTGTCTGCAGTGCTGCTGTCTACAGTTCAGAGACTACAGTTACCGGCTACCTGATTACCAGCACTACTTTGTGCCCTGTGCCCCTGTTCCCACACTCATAGGTACTCAGGCCAGAGTCACAAGAGGAAGCCCTCTCGTTACTTCGGTCTCGAACCAAGGTATGTGACACTCGCTACAGTAAGTCAATGGATAAAGTCTGTGGATGACATCTCATTTTATCCCTCAGGAAAGAATAGGCCCGCTTCCAGAAGTTCTAGTTTTACTGGATTTAATTCACATGCTACGAAAAGTACAAAGAACTTTTTAAACCCTAACTTAGCATAGGATGGGATATGGTAGACCAGAAATGTTTTCTTTTTTTTTTTTTCTTTTTCTTCTCTTTTCTTTATCTTCATTTCCCCTACTGCCCTCACCGGCCACTATTTTTTCATAGTTTCAGTAAAAATATAGCAGGGTTCTTAGTGTTGCCCCATAGCAGCACATTTTTCTATGTTCCCTATAACTTTCCAGCAGACTTGTTGAATGTGGTCATGCTCTGAGTGAAATCTCTATTGCTTTTGTCTCTGAAATCAGAAATTTATTGACGTGTAACACCGTCCTAGTTAGGCTGCCAGGTAAATTAATATTTTTGGCTCCTTAATCAGAAGAGCAGTGGTTCTTTTGTTGGGTCTGTCCAGGGCTTCACAGACTAGGAGTTTGTTTGCTTACCCCAGCCTCTAGAAGAAGTTCTTGGAGCATAGGGAGGGAGAATTCAAATGACCAGCCTGAATATTGAGCAGGGCCTAGCCAATCCCTGAAGAGGTGTGCCCAGATGGTGGCTGGGATGCTGTTAAATAGTCTGGAGCTCTGGGGAGATTGTCTTTTTTCCCTTCCGAGGGAATGCATCTGTGAGCTGGAAGGAGGAGGGTGGAAGTAGGCTGTCTTACCCCTGGAGCCTTTTGGAATGGATTTTGAACTATTCTACAAGAGGGTGCATCTATGGACTGATTTTGTTACATAATCCTGTTAATGGAGCCACTTTACCTGTGCTAAAGTTACGTAGTAGACTGTTCCAGTCTTCTTTTGCCTGATCTCCAACCTACTTCTCGGTCCTCAGCCGTCAACCTGTAGACCAAGGGTATTGAATTAAAATTCAAGGAGGTCCGGTCACTAAACTCTTCTTTTGGCCGAGGTCTGAAAATAAATGTCCCCACACGTGTTCCCTCTCACATCAGGTTCCCCCTCCAGAGTAATTTATAACATTGGGTGCCACCATCAGACTTCCCCCATAAATCAGTTGCCACCATCAGAGTACCCCCCTATATCAGGTGTCCCCATCAGAGTGCCTCCATAAGTAATGTGCTCCCATCAGAGTGTCCTCATACATCAGGCATTTCCATCAGAGTGTCCCCTTACATTGAGCATTCCAATCAGAATGCCCCCTTATATCAGGCATTCCCATCAGAGTGCCCCCTTAAATCAAACATTTCCATCACAATGCCCTCATACATCAGGCATTCCCATGAGATTGCCCCCTTACACCAGCCATTCCCATCAGAATGCCACCTTACATCAGGTTTCTGCATCAGAAGGCCCCCTTACATTTGGTGTCTCCCATCAGTAGGCCCCCTTTCATCAGTTGTCCCCAATAGAGTGCCCCATTATATAAGGTTCCCCGATCACGGGGACACCTTACATAAGGTGTGCCCTTCAGTGTGTCCCCTTACATTAAGTGTCGCCACCAGAGTGCAACTTTACATCATGTATTCCCATCACATTAGGTGTGCCCATCAGAGAGCTCCTTTAAAGCAGATGTCCCCATCAGTGTGCCCCTTTACATCAGGTATCCCTATCACAGTGCCACCTTATATCAGGTATTCCCATCAGAGTGCCCCCTTTCCATCATATTTCCCCATCAAAATGCCCCTTTACATCATATTCCCTATCAGAGTGCCCTTTGCATCACATGTGCCCATCAGAGTGCCCCTTTCCACAGTATGTGCCCACATGTGCCCCTGTAACATAACATGTGTCCATCAGAGTGCCCCTTAAGATAAAAGGTGCCCTAATGGGCACATTTACATTAATGAGCACTCTGATGGGCACATTTAATGTTAAAGGGTAATGCCGATGGGCATATTTAATGTTAAGGGGCACTCTGATAGACACAAGAATGTGCCCATCAGAGTGCCCCTTAGCAAAAAAAAAAAGACCCATCAGAGTGCCCCTTAACATAAAATGTGCCCCTTAATATAAATGTGCCCATCATAGTGACCCTGAAAGAACACCCCCTACCTTGAGGGCAGACAGGAGCGAGAGACAGGAGCTTGCCGGGATCCTAGCTGAAGGGGGCAGGCACAGGCTTGTGGACAGGCAGGAAGCAGGAGCCAGGAGAGACAGTAAGCTGCAAGGGAAGGGGCGCACATGTGATGTCATTGATTGCCAGGACGACTGTCCATTCTACTCTGGTGGGCTGGTGGTCCAGGCAGGAGTGCTGCTTGGGCATGTTCTCAAACTGCCATCCACCATTTAGTGACCACTGCTGTAGACCAGCCTTTCTCAACCTTTTCAACACAGAGGAACTCTTGAAATAACATTCCAGTCTCAGGGAACACCTGCTAAAAATGACTATGTCTACAACCCATGATACATGAGTGTGATGGTCAGTGGGAAGAATGCTCCTCACACTTGTGGTCATTGAGAAGAATTCCCCCCTTACAGATAGATAAAAAGATCAATGGTGTCAGTGGGAACTTGTCTGAGAGGCAGAAATTGCTCATTGCTCAAGGAACCCCTAGCTATCTCTAGAGCAGTGGTTCTCAACCTTCCTAATGCCGTGACCCTTTAATACAATTCCTCATGTTGTGGTGACCCCCAACCATAAAATTATTTAACCAGTAATTATAATTCATGACTGTTGTTTTACCTCCAATACTGCTGCTTTCAACACAGTAGCTGCTTTTAACAGAGTAGCTGCTTTCAACACAGCAGCTGCTTTCTACACAGTAGCTGCTCTTTACACATCAGAAATATGTGTTTTCTGATGGTCTTAGGGGACCCCTGTGAAAGGGTCATTAGACCCCCAAAGGGGTCGCAACCCACAGGTTGAGAACCACTGCTCTAGAGGAACCCTAATGTTCCCTGGAACCCTGGTTGAGAAACCCTGCTGTAGACTATTCCAGTTAACCTTTACCTATGCTAAAGCTGCCTAATGGTCCCCAGACATGAACATATAGATTGTTCCAGTCTACCTGTACTTGTGCTGATGTTACTGAGGGAAAGGTGTCCTCTGCTAACAATACCTGACATTTTGGATTATCCCACATCCCTCCAAATCCCCTCAGTTACAAGTTTCTAAAAGCAAATACACTTTAAAAGACAACCTCTTAGACTTCAACTTCAATGAGTCGGAGAGAGTGGACTGTTACTGTGTGCCTGGTTGCCTCTGCACTGTTTGGGAAAGAACCAATCTAATCTACAGTGGCCCCTTTGGGGCTAGTGCTCCAGAGGTGTTTCATATGATATTGTATGTCCTATGTACTTTATTGATACTAATGTTGCAGGACCTGTATTGTTGGTCAGCTGTCTGAACTATGTATCATTTTATTCATGTTCTTTATAAAGAATTAAAAAAAGGACGAGGAAAGTCACAAAACAGTAAAACACAGACTGAGATTTAATACGTTTCTACAGATGGCTTCATCAGTAACAAGAATTATTTTGGCATAGTTCCATAGGAGATGCTAAAGTAGTTGTCAGCAGAACGTGCTATGACCTGAGTGTATGCTGACAGAGGTGACATAATGTGATAGAGCGCTCGAAATACTTTACAGTCCACTTGGACTTTTCCACAACCTGGATTTAACGTTGGAATTTTAAATATTTGATTTACACAATTAAAGTGTGAGGTCTTGTGAGCAGTGGTGTCCCAAGGCACGTGCAGGGGGTGCGCACCACACCGGGTAACACCGACCGCATGAGGTGACACCGGACCCGCTCCACGAAAAGGTAAGTTGTAAAGCAAGCCCATGATCTCCTGCGGGGATCGTCCGCTTTCTTTACAATGTACCTTTTCGTGGAGCGGGTCCGGTGTCACTCCATATAGGTTGCATGTCGACGATCCCCGCAGGATGGATCGGATCTGCGGATTGGGGAGCATAATGATACCTGATCCATTATGCTCAATCTGCAGTTCCGATCCATTCTGCGGGGATCATCGGAGGGGGTGTCACCAAGTGTTATCGCACCGGGTGACACCAACCCTAGAGACGCCCCTGCTTGTGAGCTACTACGGTGTGTGCAATGTGCTAATAATTAATGAAATATTTAAATGGTACTAAAATAGCGATATAACCAATAAAATAAAAAAAAAATGTGTATAAAACTGTGAAAAATGTGGTTCGCGTACACTCTACGCATACTCATACCTGTCAGGGCAGGAGCTGTGGAATGGACAGGCAGGCCTAATGGCAGGGTCACGCACCGACTGATGACAACCACCACCCACAGACCGGAGTCCCTCAGGGCACGGAGTCTAAGCCCCAGGCTGCCCTTCACCAGGGCCCCTGATGGTAGGGATGGACTTGACGCAGCCAGGGACCAGGTCGCGGCCCCCGAGTAACCCCAGCTGCGGTAATGGCCGCCGCCAATGGTGTATAGCTGGTAGGAACCAGATAAGAACGATAGCGTAGTCGGACAGGCCGGGTCGATAACAACGGGACAGACAGTACAGAACGGTAGACAAGAATACACACGTCGCAAGCCGGGTTCAGCAACGGGAGGTAAGATAATGGGAGTCAGTTTCCAGGAGAGCCACAAGAGTAGAATAGGAGCTTGCAACAACACAATCATACAAGACACGAATGCAAAGAGCAAGTGCAGACAACAGGCTTAAATGTGATCCACCACACCCCTCTGGGGGATGGACCGCAGAGGCCTGAAAGCATAAAAGGCTCCCACCATGCTTTGCAGAAACCCAAGATGAATGCCAGCACATGGAGCAGCATAACCTCTGGGAAAAGGTAGGACCTTGACAATACCATTGTGTTATAGAAAATAAAATCAGAAATAGTGTCGCGCTCCAATTCACAATTCTTTTATATTGTGTCTCAAAGCCTAATGTTAGCCAAAAGATGTTTTTAAAGTGATATTAAATAATTAAAATAAAATTAAAAAAAAAATCATACTTACCTTTTCTGTGCAGTGGTTTTGCACAGAGCAGCTGTCAGGGACCATCGCGACGCATGGGTCTGCACATGCGTTGGTGTCTGTCAAGACATGCAGGCAGCAGGGCACTAGGACCCAGGCGCACCCGTCGCCTATGACGGTGCTGGGCAGGCACTAGGACCTAGGCTGCGCCTGTCAGGTGCAGGGCAGGCTACTTAAACCAGCCCTGCACAGACACAAGTTGCCGTATGGTCTGATCTGATTCCTGTGTTCCTGTATTCTGTTGCTGAAGATTCGTTGCTGACCTGCCTGGACCTGACCTCTGCTGACTTCTCCTGCTCTGACCCCTGGCTAAGTTTGACCTCTCTTTGGATATCCCTACCTGATCTGAACTACTGGTACTGACCCCGGCAAGTGACCTGACTATTCTTCTGCCTGCTGCCTTGTACTACGCTGACCTCTCTGTTTTACCGACCTGGCCCGTCTGACCACGCTCATCCGTCCAGCCATCCCTGCTTCCGCCTTCTGCCTCTTCATGTCAGGCTCTCCACCTGCACAGACCCCTGGCGGATTCCTCTACCACAGACGGGTGTACTCAGGGGCCGCGACCTGGTTCCAGTCTGCTCCAAGTCCATCCCCACCATCAGGGGCCCTGGTGAACAAGCAGGCTGGGGCTTAGACTCCGCGCTCTGGGGAATCCTGTCCTGTGGGCTGCTAGAGGTACCGCCAGGCGGGTTGCTAACAGCAGCCCAATGGCTCCTGCTGCTTTCTCAGCCAATGAGGAGAGGGAGTCCCAGGATTGCAGAGACTCCAGTGCACATCGCTGGATCGAGAGGGGGCTTAGGTGAGTATTAGGAGGGGCTGGGGGAGCTGCTGCACTGAGAAGGTTTTTTTTTTACCTTCATGCATAGAATGCATGAAAGGTAAAAAACCTTGAAAGTTTACAACCACTTTAAATATTGTGGAGCAGAGTTGGAATTTTTGTCGGGTTTATATTTCTGTCTGGAACCTCTAGATATTCTCTACTAAGAATGAGCAAATTTGCATGGGTTTGGTTTGAGAACAGTTTCGCATTAGTTGCTCAAAATGTGCAAACTTTGCAGCACACACCATAGGAGCCTATGGAAGGAGTGAATCTTGTTAAATTCTGGCTATTTATGTGCACCAACGGTAAAACTGGGCCTCAATGATAGTCGGCTTAAAGTGTTAGGACAAAGGGTTGCTCCTTTACAGCTGATCAACAGAGACCTATTGCTTCTGCTAAAAGGTACCTCTCAGGGGACATTGCACCATATCCTAACCATCCTTCTAGAGTGCACTAGTTATATTATTATTATTCACATTACAGTTACAGGAGAAGTACAGCAAAAGTTCTTTTGGCTGTACTTCTGCTGTGGCTCACAGGAGTGCAGTTTTCAGCTGAGAGCCCGCTGTCGGCTGATGACACTTAGCCAGTCCAGGCTGGGGAAAGATCCTGACTTCAAAGTCGGGATCCACCCCAGAGTCTGCTGAGAGCCTGAGCCAGCCGTTTCACAGCCCAGCTCTCCAGTGAGCGCTGGGGGGAGCAGAGCAGACAGTGCTGACTGACAGTCACCGCTCTCTGCTCAGAGAGAGCTCAGCGATTCGTGGTCATGTGATCAGTGAGTTGTGACCCTTAGAGCTGGTGGGGGACAGATGAAAAATCGGACCAATGCTGCATCCACCTAGGTAAGTATAATGGGGAAAAAAATTAAAAGCCATACTTCTCTTTTAGGGCTCGTTCACACTTGACTAATTTCTAACGCTTGCCAAACGCCCCTACAGTGTTTGACAGGCGT